ATATATTGAATGCACAAATCGAAACCTACACCCGGCGTCATGTGTCCTTCCTGGATTATTAAGGTACGTGGTGAAGAACATGCATATGCGAGCCCAAATGACCTGCACTGAAAATTCGGGCCTAAACGCAGAAATCCAATATCTTGACCAAGCGATTCTAAAGAACAGTAACAGAAAGAGGATCCTTGATGAAGAACTTCCGTACAACAGCTCAAATTTCCGCTCTATGGAAAATCTGTTTTATGCATGAAATTCTCTTGAGCAAGGAATTCACCACAATTCCTCAGACCACCACCGTTCCTCAACCGGTAGAACATCGAACTCAGAACCGATAGGATGCGAGCTAGGGTCAATCGCCCTTCTGAGGTTCATAAATGAGTACAACTCTATGGGAAGGAAATAGGAGACTATACGCTAAGCTTGCCATATGGCTGTAGACTATGCCTGTAAGCAAATAAGGCACTCCTGGCTGATGACATAGAGATGAAAATTAACACCGCACTACCAACTTCCTGAAAAGAAGGGCGCCAAAACAGTTCAATCATGAAAGTGAAGGAAGACCAACATTTCATCGGTGATAAACTTTCCCTTTCTTTAATGGTATGTTGCTCTCATAGTGCACAAGAGATACGGTCATGCTGTCGCCACTTGCGATGATACTTCACTTTGCACTTAACCACCTCATAGCTGATTATTCAGTGTGGCAAATCATCACGAAGTATAACCCTAAAAAATAATAATCCAGAAACTTACAGAGTACTGTAAAGGATTATCGGATATCACGGCGTTGACTGCGACTCGCTTCAACAACGATTGCGTAAATTTAGAAGACTCTTGTGGCGAAAGGTACAGGAAACAACAACCCGCCTTCATAATCCTAAAAGTCCAAGGTTAGTTCACCAAATGTGACGGAAGAAGTAGAGTAACCCTAAAATAACAGCAGGCAAGAAAAGATTCGTTTCCATGTAAACCGCTACAATGGCGTTTTCCTCGAACTGTTTCTTCAAAATCTCTTCGCAGACTTCATGCGCAACTTCTTGAAGTTCGGCGTATGATATGGAGGACCCTTTTATTCCATCCCAGTAACTAACAGCGGTAGCATCGCTCGTGTCAACTACCAATTCATGAAGGAAGCGCACCGTCACTTCGGCAGCCATTCCTTAATCGTCCTCAGATTTTGGTTCACCAGCAATACTCGCAGTCAGGCCTGCTAATGTAGGAACGTCAGCATGTAAACAGACAAAGCATCACCAATTCTGCTACATTACGTTTGTCAATCGAAATTTAAATTTTGAATCATTGGTGTGAAGAGTACAAAACGATAGTAGTCAAGTATACATCACACTGTCACTTGCATGCCGCGTTTTAAGGTCAACAGAGAAAGTAAAGTGTGGTCGCAGAACATCCATTCTTAGGTCTAGTGCAAAGACAACTTCACCAAAGTACAGGCTAAATCTTGCATTGATTATTACACTCGAGAGTCGACTGTCAGGTTGAAGAAATCGAATTGAAGACAGTGGAAAAATTCCCACCGGATATTGTCAGTCAATCAATCAATCACTTTAATATCTCTAAACGATTTGTGAAAGACTATTCTCGGCACGATGGGCTAAATGGCCAGAAAATGAACAGATCGAAAAATTGATATGAAGAATTGACCGGCTGCTATTGTATAGTACAGTGATAAGTATTGGAATATTCTGGTTGTACGGTTCTGGAATTGTGGTCGTAACCTTCGCTCACTCTGGTTTATTTACCCCTAGACACAGTGCTGTCACCTTGTTCGCAAATTAGCTACTTGTGATCATCCATGCTCATTTCTTCGCTCATCGCACTGAAACAACGTGGGGTAAATTCATGGCTCAAGTGAATTCGTGGTTAGGACAAGGTAGTATTCGTGGTTAGGTAGCACTCGTGGTATTTAGGTGGTACTCGTGGTTAGGACAAGTATCTATGAATTCGAACCCGGCACCTCGTTAGTTACAAGTGGAATCTTAATGTAATACCGCGCTACAGAAATATTGCAAATGCTGCTGCTGTTAATAAGCAAACAGAACCAAAACTACATGATCTGCGGAAATGCCAGCTACATATTTCATCTCCCACAACTGCAACTGTTAAAGCCTCCCCATGTTATGCACATAGAACATTTAATCTTCATATGACCCATGAATTTCAATCCTGAACTTTACAAATTCATTCAGCAACCATGACAACCGGATGCTCCGGTTAGCTTCGATTGTAATTGCAGCGTACCCCAGTAATGAAACTCGCATTTTCAGTGTTCTCTGTCGTGAGTTTATTTCAGTCATTAATAACGTGGAGGCGCAGTTGTAACTAGGTTGACACCTAATTCCAGATGAGCTGTTCGGATCTTCTGAAAGAAACACAATTGTTCTACACGTGAATTTTGTTGAACAGTTAATTTATCCCACGTTGCTCCTGCGCAACTAATCGAGAAACGGGTGGTATATCAGTGGGTTGCAAAAAATACATTCAGCATGTTATTCTGTTTATTTTACTGTATAGCATGTTACTCGGCTCTAGTGATGCCAGAATGAACGAGGTGCGCTTCCATGCTCACTAATTCAAGCACTTCCAATGACTGTACGAGGCCCTGACACATGATTGCTGAGTATGCTATGTAATATAATGAGAACATGGAATTTCTCTGATTTTCTAACGGCTGTTCAGCTGATCGCAATGGTATAGTAAGACAACAGGTTTAACCCAGCAGTGTATCATGACTCTTGCTGACAGAGACCGAGCTCCGCCACTGAGATCTTCGAAGGGAAGGTCGTTAATCGTTAGCAGTCTTTCACACCATCTCCATTGTATTCTATCATTCTTCAACTCGAAAATGACAGCAGCGTCAGAGAAGTAAACTCAGCGCATGTTATGAAAATGGGGATATTTCCACGCGGCGTAACTGTCTCATTCCTGACCTACTCCACGTTACATATGTTGCTCCGCATTGCACTTTGATCGCACACTTTCTGAACCCGAAGAAAACTTTTTTAAAAATAAAACCAGCACATCTGCCAAAATATAAATAAGCATAAATGGAGCTTCTATTTGAGTTCAGTTTCTGGATCCCCTGGTCATGTGAAACATGTATCTGCGACTCCTCTGTAGCAATATCAATAGCAGTTTTGCTACATAATTCAGATTCCTGTTTTAATTAAACAGTTGAGTAGTTTTTACATAATTTTGAGAGATTTAATTTATTTATATATGCTGTTGTGCTGCTGAAAGGGATTCGTGTTGATTTTTGTACGAAATGGATTTCCAAATGATTTGTTCGTTATTACAATGCGAACTGTAGATTTTTAAGATAAATGATAGGCAAGTGATTACGCCTGCGTTCAGATCTGTGTGAGAAGTTCCAACTTCCCAGTGATGTGGCGGTTGTGTATAGTTTTTCTGGTGTAACTTCAGAATTGTCTGTAATTCTGTTAGTTGTCGTGAAATGCATTGGTAGGTAGCTGTCGAAATGGTTCGAAGAAAACCCTCTGGTTCAAGAAAGGTAATCATTTGTTCATGCTTCGTTTTTCATTGTATATTGATTATTGTGTTCTAATTTATCGCGATAGTTAGTCTAATATTTGGATAATACTGTGTAATTGCTAGTTTTTCTGTGATCACTTTAGGTTATACGGTTGGTTTTTACTGTGGTAAATTGACATAGCGCTGTTTCATTAATAAATGATCTCCAGATCGAATCAAGGAAGGGCTTGTTGAGGCTGTGTTTGTCTGAGATGGTAACAAAGGCAGACTCGAGGGAAGTTAGGCTATCCCCCGCCTGCTTGTTACAACTCAAACAGAAATCCTTACATATTAAATGCATTCAATTAATTAAACTTTAATACTTGTGAAAGTACGGGTTTACGTATCGTACCTCAGATATGTCTTGATAGCCGTTGTCATGTCTTTAACAGTTCAGGACATCCAATATGAAGGCTCTTAATGTACGATGTATAAAAATTCGTTGTTTTATGTCGGTTATGCGTAAAAGGATAGTGATATAGGAAAGAATGACATACCACCGTCTGTTTATCTCTGCAAAGCATCCCTATTATGGCTTGACTCCATGTCTCCTCCACATCAACGGATGATGAATGACCCTCCTCGATAGAATATTTTTGGTGAATATTCTTGTTTAACGGCGTTTGCAGATTAGCACTCTATGAAGTCAGATATATTGCTTGTAATCGTCCATTTGCAGACGGGTTGCTAACGCAGGCATCGAAAACTTTTTGCGATAGTCTGCTAACCTGTCTCTCTCGTTATTGAGGCCGTTTTTTCTGTGGGATGCATCTGTTTTGTTTGCTGCTTGAAATTACCTTCTACTTGGTCTAATGTTCTTTATCTCTTGTGTTAAAGTAGGTTTTTTTATGGCGTTGCTTAGGCAGTAAACTTTCAAATAATTTTCAGACGAAGCTAGGTCTTGAGCATCAGATTTTAAGTTTAAATATTATTTTGATGTTGAAATTAAAAACCTAAGTTGTACTGTCAAGGTATTGCAATTTGGCAAATGATTATACTCTCTTTCTGAAGAAAATGATTACATTATTATCACCAAGATCTCTGAGGCCGTAAGCATTACTATCTTTTTTTGATTTGCTCTAAGAATGGTACCTAATTATAG